CCATCAAATTATGGCCAAATTGCATTATTTTTTTTTATAAGCCAAATTATAATGATGGTCTATTAAACATGCATTTTGTCTCACTTTGGTCCTCGTTCTTTTAATCATATTACTTTAGTATCTCAAGTTTCCAATATATGTCACTTTGGTTCCATCGAAAACAATAATTTTTGTTGACTAATGGAGATAATTACGTGTATCTTACGTGGCCACATTTGAAGAGAATTCTTTGAAAATTGAAGGGACTAAAATGACACAAATTGTAAACGTGAGATATTAGTTCGCCCCTAAAGTCATGTCACATAAGACAAATGTTAACACCTCCATTGATCAATTTAAACGTTTTTTTTGATTAAATCAAAATCACACGTTTTAAAATTTTAAAAAGAGTAAGATAATAAAATTGAAAGAATGAGGGCAGCAATGATGTTAGTGATGATAATGACGATGAAGGTAGGCTGGGCAGCAATGATGTTAGTGATGATAATAAACAATAACGATAGCAAATCAACCATAATGTCTATGTAGAAGCAGCCTACCGTTGTGCTCAAATGTTGAAAATGAAGGAAAAAAAACTGTATACCGTCAAAATTGGAACAATTACCATGACTCTTACATAAGGATAATGCACATAAATCGAAAAAAAAAAAAACTTCTACAGAACCTGTCAGTTAGTATTCCGTATAGCCAAAATAAAAGTAAAAAATGTTAGATTAAAACGGCTATTTTGAACCAAAAATTAGCTTTAACAAAGAATTAGACGAAGTTTCTACAAACCCTTTCACATGTTTATCATCAAAAGTAAGCATACCCTCTAACTGCACAAGGCACTTTCCAATTAAAATTTTAAGCGGGTTAATAACATTTTTAGTTTTTAAAATATATATGTTTTATCAGCATAGTCCCTAAAATATCAATTTTGTCTCTAAAATATTCAATTCGTGTTTAAATAATTTTTACACAAACGGACTGTTAAGTTTTTGACAGAATGATCACATGATACCGTTTGAAAGAATAATACGTGACCACTTCTATTAAAAAAAACTTATGATCCATTTGGTAGGAATGATGTAACGTAGAAAGGATGAAAAGTAAGAGAATACATTTTCTATCCTTTAAAGATGGAAAGTAGGAATAATACACTTTCCTTCCTTTGTGTTTGGTTGAATGGATGAAAAATAAAAATGACCAAATTTTTTTAAAATTTTTTTGTCAAATATTAGGGGTGATAATCGAGTCGTGTCGTGTCAGATTCGTGTTGAGTCATAAAATTATGAGTCTTTTATATTTCTTGTTTGTGTGTCATGTCCTTTTCAAGTTCGTGTCGAGTTCGAGTCGCGTCATCATATTGAGTCGAAAATTTTAACTCCTAGTTAAGATGAAAANGTGTGTCATGTCCTTTTCAAGTTCGTGTCGAGTTCGAGTCGCGTCATCATATTGAGTCGAAAATTTTAACTCCTAGTTAAGATGAAAAAATATTTTTTTTAATTTAAATTTTTTAATTTTTTAATTTAATTTTTTATATATATATATATATTTTATCATTGTATTTTTATATGACATTAATGTATACATAATATATAAATAAATAAAATATATATCAATACAAATAATTAACTTTTCATCCATTTTTTCATCCTTCCTATTTTCCTTCCTTACCAAGCATAATGTTTTATTTATCCCTCCAACTTTCCATATTTCCATTTTTCTATCATACCAAATGAAGCATTAACGAATTGTCTGATTAGAGATCAAAGTAAGACAACTTAAAACTTAAGGGATCAAATTGATAAAATTAATACAATGAGAACTAAACTGATAAAACATGTATACTTTTTAAGGACTAAAAATACTATTAACTCTTTTTAAGGTAAAAATCCGAGATGATGCCGGTAAATTTCATATAAGGACCAAGTTAGAGATAATATACACTTCTATGTGATNAAGTTTGGTATTAGATGATTTTAATATAATAACTAAAAATATCATTTTTTTTTTTTTGACTTTTTGCTGATTTTGTAGAGAAAAGTGGGTGGCTGTGGTAACTTTCCAGAAATGCAGGCGGATGAAAGAAATGAAATGAATTTTGAAGGGAAAAGTACTAAAGATTCTGTAGACCTAAAGAAGAAGGGAATGTACTTGGTCCCTCTGTCAATGTTAGTTAACTACCTTGGTTGATTTCTCTCTTTCTAGGAATTTGTATAGAGAAAAAGTTCCAGAGATAATGTTGATTATTCCAATACCATGAGTATTCTTCTTTGAACATTTGATGGGACAGAATCTTCTTTGAATTACTTGCCATATACATTTCCTATGCGAAGAGAAAGGACAATTGTACCAGAAAGGGTGAAGTATATCATTGTTAACCCGAGCAATCCGATACTTACCAAATATTCTTATAAAATTTCTAATCCCAAATGACGTGGCACGGTTTTTATCATTTAATATTAATGAGACTCATTTATCTGTGATGGAGATTGTGCCACGTCATTTGAGATAAAAAATTTGATAAAAACATTTGGTAAGTATATCATTTCTCTTGTTAACCCTAATCTGTTGAGGTCTTTTCAGTTTATATATCTATTATTGAGGCTTGTTTCATTTGTAACTTTATTTTTGGCTGAAATACAAAAATCGCCCCCAAAATTTATGTTGTCTTATTTTGAATTCTATTCTTTCATTTGCAACACTCGAGCTTTTAAAATTTTCGATTTACCTCTGCATGGCCAATCAAGAATGGCAAACCCAAATTCGCTAATTTGAAATGAACACATATCGAACAACAATATATATGCATGATTATATCATTTGATATCACTAGTATCAGCATCGATGAGAGAGCACACTGTTGGATGTATTTCTCAAATACAACAACATCATTTATTGAAATCTCTGATCTGTATCATACAATTTAGAATAAAACAGTAATAATAAAAAACGAAANCTCTCAAATACAACATCATTTATTGAAATCTCTGATCTGTATCATACAATTTAGAATAAAACAGTANTTCTCAAATACAACAACATCATTTATTGAAATCTCTGATCTGTATCATACAATTTAGAATAAAACAGTAATAATAAAAAACGAAACGGTAACACATAAATTATAATAAATAAACCGACCCATTTGCAGAATACCAAACATACAAGACTTAATCACCCAATCCCCTTATCCCACGTAATAAAATGGAGTTGCCAAAGTAAGAGAGGGAATAACAAGTTTTTATAAAAAAAAATAAAAAAATTGAGAAGTAATTGATGATGAACTTAGACATTGCTAAATGTCAATTAAGTNTGGAGTTGCCAAAGTAAGAGAGGGAATAACAAGTTTTTATAAAAAAAAATAAAAAAAATTGAGAAGTAATTGATGATGAACTTAGACATTGCTAAATGTCAATTAAGTAATGTTATTCCTTCTGTTGACATTTTATATTAAAATCTCTTATTTATGATCTTGTTTTAAAATGTTTAGATTCCAAGAGGATATAAGGTCCTTGTACCCACAAATTAAGTAGACAACAAAAAAACAGATTACTAAGCTTTAAATAATGAATCATCCCCTACATGTTGCAGGTCATTTCTTTAACATATACAGAAAAATGAGACCCCTCCATGTGCTTATAGTAGACATAAGCAAGGTAATACAGATAAGTCCAAAGTTGCCTAGGGCATCCAGAAAGATTTCACACCATAAATTCCTCCCTGGTTGACTCTCTGTCACATTTTTCTTCATCATTTTTTAAGTTGCTATTAAAATTCAGGGCATATCATCTTTTGAATGGGTGAGTCCTATTAAAAAGTTGATGAAACTCACTCATTCAAGAAATGATATAAATTTTTTTTTTTGTTCAACAATCTGGAGTGTTCTGGCCAGCTTACTCCCATCTCAACTAATTTTCTCCCCGATTTGGTCAAAGGTAGGTCATCCACACTAGGATTAAGGTATTTATGAGGGATAAATCTCTTATGGTCTGACCCTAAGGGATTGCCAATATTTGAACTCAGAATGGTTAGGTATACAACTCGTTCCCATTATCACTTGAGCTACCTTTTTTTTTTTTTTCACTTGAGCTACCCCTTGGAGTTGATGATAATATGCATTTGTATTGTAATTTTTTAACTTTCATTTGAATTATATAACATTACTTTTTTTTTTATAGAGTGAAGATTATTTGGACCCAATTTACTAACTTAATTATTTATAATCATTAGATTGACAGTAAACCTGAATCTTTATCGAGAACTGTAACCAATCCAATGTTTGTGATTGACTAAACCATCAAATTATGGCCAAATTGCATTTTTTTTATAAGCCAAATTATAATGATGGTCTATTAAACATGCATTTTGTCTCACTTTGGTCCTCGTTCTTTTAATCATATTACTTTAGTATCTCAAGTTTCCAATATATGTCACTTTGGTTCCATCGAAAACAATAATTTTTGTTGACTAATGGAGATAATTACGTGTATCTTACGTGGCCACATTTAAAGAGAATTCTTTGAAAATTGAAGGGACTAAAATGACACAAATTGTAAACGTGAGAGATTAGGTCGCCCCTAAAGTCATGTCACATAAGACAAATGTTAACACCTCCATTGATCAATTTAAACGTTTTTTTTGATTAAATCAAAATCACACGTTTTAAAATTTTAAAAAGAGTAAGATAATAAAATTGAAAGAATGAGGGCAGCAATGATGTTAGTGATGATAATGACGATGAAGGTAGGCTGGGCAGCAATGATGTTAGTGATGATAATAAACAATAACGATAGCAAATCAACCATAATGTCTATGTAGAAGCAGCCTACCGTTGTGCTCAAATGTTGAAAATGAAGGAAAAAAAACTGTATACCGTCAAAATTGGAACAATTACCATGACTCTTACATAAGGATAATGCACATAAATCGAAAAAAAAAAAAACTTCTACAGAACCTGTCAGTTAGTATTCCGTATAGCCAAAATAAAAGTAAAAAATGTTAGATTAAAACAGCTATTTTGAACCAAAAATTAGCTTTAACAAAGAATTAGACGAAGTCTCTACAAACCCTTTCACATGTTTATCATCAAAAGTAAGCATACCCTCTAACTGCACAAGGCACTTTCCAATTAAAATTTTAAGCGGGTTAATAACATTTTTAGTTTTTAAAATATATATGTTTTATCAGCATAGTCCCTAAAATATCAATTTTGTCTCTAAAATATTCAATTCGTGTTTAAATAATTTTTACACAAACGGACTGTTAAGTTTTTGACAGAATGATCACATGATACCGTTTGAAAGAATAATACGTGACCACTTCTATTAAAAAAAACTTATGATCCATTTGGTAGGAATGATGTAACATAGAAAGGATGAAAAGTAAGAGGAATACACTTTCTATCATTTAAAGATAGAAAATAGGAATGATAAACTTTCCTTCCTTTGTGTTTGGTTGAATGGATGGAAAATAAAAATAACCAAATATTTTTTTAATTTTTTTTTTCAAATATTAGGGGTGATAATCGAGTCGTGTCGTGTCAAATTCGTGTTGAGTCATAAAATTATGAGTTTTTTATATTTCTTGTTTGTGTGTCATGTCATTTTCAAGTTCGTGTCGAGTTCGAGTCGTGTCATCATATTGAGTCAAAAATTTTAACCCCTAGTTAAGATGANTGTGTGTCATGTCATTTTCAAGTTCGTGTCGAGTTCGAGTCGTGTCATCATATTGAGTCAAAAATTTTAACCCCTAGTTAAGATGAAAAAATATTTTTTTTTAATTTAAAATTTTTATTTTTTTAATTTTATTTTTTTAATATATATATATATTTTATCATTGTATTTTTATATGACATTAATGTATACATAATATATAAATAAATAAAATATATATTAATACAAATAATTAATTTTTCATCCATTTTTTCATCCTTCCTATTTTTCTTCCTTACCAAGCATAATGTTTTATTTATCCCTCCAACTTTGTATCTTTCCATTTTTCTATCATACCAAATGGAGCATTAACGAATTGTCTGATTAGAGGTCAAAGTAAGACAACTTAAAACTTTAGGGATCAAATTGATAAAATTAATATAATGAGGACTAAACTGATAAAACATGTATACTTTTTAAAGACTAAAAATACTATTAAGGTAAAAATCTGAGATGGTGCCGGTAAATTTCATATAAGGACCAAGTTAGAGATAATATACACTTCTATGTGATNTGCGCTCACTTTACCATGCAGCGTTGATGTTGATGTGAAGGTCAAACGTCCAGCAAACAAATCGCCCCACAAAAAGGGGCTCGATATCAACTTATCTGCAGTGAAATTTGCATAAGTGCGGATATTAAACTTACCGCGCGCTGGAACTGTTCCATGTGGAATTGGAGCTTCAGCTACAGAAGTCCCATGGTAATAGACTGTAGATGTTGTATTCTTGAACCTAAAGCTTCCATAATTTTTGTTGTCAATGGTAACAACCAACCCCACTGTCGCGTTAAGACTTAAAGATGGGAAGATTTGGAACTCAAGGTTTTCAAGACTAGCAGGGTGGGCAGTGATTTGGGGTTTTTTAGGCTTAAAGACAGTGAAGAACAATGTGACAGAAACAATTAAAAAGATTATCAAAACAACTGTTGTTATACCACAACAAATTTTGAGTCCTTTTCGGGAACTTTTGCTTTCAGTCATATTGTCTCAATCATAAAGGCTGAAGAATTTCAATGATGGATAAGTAAATTGTCAAACTTTGGTTGATGCTAAGCAAAGATGTGTGGTTTAGTGGTGTTTTGTTTGAACGGGTGGGCACGGTTGTTATCAGAACTGAATGGGCTTCCACGCAGGGGCGATCCAAAAAAGAATATCCAGAATGGGAAAAGTTTTTGCAGCCTCACCAAATCTGCTTAAAAATAAGCCTAATTTGGAATCTCCAGTGAAATTTGGAATGTGTTTAATGCANCAGAATGGGAAAAGTTTTTGCAGCCTCACCAAATCTGCTTAAAAATAAGCCTAATCATGTCCTTCCAGTGAAATTTGGAATGTGTTTAATGCAGATCAAGGTCACTGCTGATAAGGAATGCTTTTAGGCAAGTGTGTTTTTAAATAGGATGGATGAAGCACAAGAAGAGTGGAATCTCTTCTACTTTGATTGGTTTTTTGTAGATTAGTGTTTGTTAAGCTTGAGGTAGCGTAAATAAAGGTCTATGAAGTTATTGACATGATGGGTTTGACTGTTAATTGGGCTTAGCACAACGAAAAAAGAAGAAAAAAAGAAGAAGAAAGAAAGACGATTTTTGTTCAATTATTACTGACTAAAAGAGTACCCAGTGTACGAGACTTTCGTCATTGTGGGATCTATGAAGAATTAGATGTACGCAGGCTTATCCTTACAAATAGAGAGATTGTTTTTGTCAATTACTGCAAGTTTTTATTTCAAAAAATTTTATTTCTGATCATAAAGTAGTTGTCACCGTTTAATTAAGGCAGGGAGGAATGCCTTGAGTGCAGTGTTATTCGGCTAGAGTGCTTGTTCTTATATTCAAATACACACAATCTCTTAGTTGTTAGTTCGATAAGTTTATCATAGTGTAAGGTAATGACCAATACAATTTTATTTTAATCTTATTCACCTGTACTCAAGTATTAAATTTTCAGCTGTCAAAATCTATATTTCCACCTTTTGTCTATAAATTTGGTAAAAGAAATTTCCATATTATGTTTGATTTTAATTTCAACAAAATACAAACTCTCTGCATTACTACTTAGAGACCAGCCCACGAAGTAATATTCTTGGGCTGATAAGAACCGGCCCAAAACTAGGGTGAGCCAATCAGATTTAGTCACTGTAATTATTAATGGATACACTTAGAGAGGACCAGTTTAAAACGTAATCAAGTCTAACCCAATAGTATTCAGTTACTGAAAAGAGTTTTTAAATTTGGACAAGAAACAAATTCACCTTAGTTCAAATCCACTGAGTACATGAATTGGGCTCTTAGGTTTTCCAGACCCATCTCGAATGGCACTAATTCAAAAACTGAACATGAGTGTAACCCAATTCATGAATGCCAAGGTCCTTACATATCAGCTCAGACATCAGGAACTCGAAAGCTAAGGCAAAAAAAAACATGAGCCGATGAAGGGGCATTGTTTTCCGACACACCGCAATTTGGCACCTCCTGACATGGTTTGACACCACCACCTGACACTTTCTAATGAATCACTAACACACTTTTTGTGGAGAGAAGTATATTAGTATTATTAGCATCACTTAAGTAATACTTAACTTACGTACAACTATTTAAACAATCTTCTCACTCAAGTTAATCTATAAATACCCCTCAAATGAAGGGAAAGAAGGTAAGAAAATATCAAAAAAAGAGTGAACATTGGTTGTTAAGTGTTGTGATCGTGCAGCAATTATAGTGAATAGTAAGGAATCAAACAATTGGGAAAGCAGGAGAAAATAACACACAGAGATTTACGTGGTTCGGCAATGTGCCTACATCCACGAGAGCGAGCGGCCGTTCTTTTCCATTATAGAATAGGGTTACATCTTAAGTATTTATATAACCCTAATATGGACGTATTTACAAAAATACCCCTGTACCGTACCGCGGGGGCGTTGCCCCCGCACCTCCAACTAATCAACGTCCCCTTTATATAAATCCCGCAAAGCAGATGCCGTCGCGGGCTCCGCTCCGCCATCTGCCTCCTTGTCATTATGCACACAACAAATATGAGCCACACATACTCTAGCAATCTCCACCTTGGCAAATATTCACCCCTTAGAAGAAAAAAAGGACATGTATTCGGGAACTCCACCGGGGACGCTGAGTTGAGGCATCTCCCATCTAGCAACTAGAGACATTAATCAAGTCCAAGCAGTGCTTGAACTTGTCTGTAGTAACAGGCTTTGTCAACATGTCTGCAGCATTCTCAGAAGTGTGAACTTTCTCAAGTAATAGTTCACCAGAAGAAACCAGTTCCCTGATCTTATGAAACCTCACATCTATATGTTTGGTCCTCGCATGATACACCTGGTTCTTTGTCAAATAAATGACACTCTGACTGTCACAATGCAATTGAACTCCACCTTGCTGGGCCCCAGCTCCTTGACTAAACCTGTAAGCCACAAAACCTCTTTGGCAGCCTCAGCTACNACCTTGTTGGGCACCCAGCTCCTTGACTAAACCTGTAAGCCACAAAGCCTCTTTGACAGCCTCAGCTACTGCCATATACTCTGACTCAATAGTAGATAGTGCAACTATAGGCTGTACCATGAACTTCCAACAAATAGGTCCTCCCACAAGAGTAAACACATAACCTGTGGTAGACCTCCTGTCATCCAAGTCCCCTGCATAGTCTGCATCCACATATCCCATAACTGAAGGGTCACTCTGTTGTCTGCTAAACATGATGCCATAGTCTGTAATGCCTCTCAAGTATCTGAAAATCCACTTGACTACATCCCAATGTTGTCGACCCGGATTTGAAAGAAACTTGCTAACCACGCTGACAGCTTGTGCCAAATCTGGTCTTGTACAAACCATAGCATACATCAAACACCCCACTGCACTAGCATATGGGACCTTTGACATGTCATGAACTTCATCATCTGTCTTCGGGCACTGAGCGGTAGACAATCTGAAATGATTCGCCAAAGGTGTACTTACTGATTTTGCATAACTCATGCTGAACCTGTCCAACACCTTCTCAACATAGCTATGCTGAGATAGCCATAATCTCCTGGAAGCTCTGTCCCTGCGAATCTCCATCCCAAGAATCTTCTTGGCCGCACCCAAATCCTTCATGTCAAATTCTCTACTCAACAAAGTCTTCAACTTGTTGACCTCACTCATACTCTTGGCAGCAATCAACATATCATCCACATAAAGTAACAGAAAAATAAATGAATCATCATCAAGCCTTTTTACATAGACACAACAATCATACTCACACCTTTTGTAGCCAATTCGGATCATGTAAGAGTCAAATCGTTTGTACCACTGCCTCGGAGACTGCTTCAGCCCATAAAGTGATTTCTTCAAATTACAGACCAAATGTTCCTCTCCAGGGAGACTGAACCCTTCTGGCTGTACCATGTAAATCCGTTCCTCCAAGTCGCCATGAAGGAAAGCTGTCTTTACATCCATCTGCTCCAACTGCATATCTGAATGTGCTACTAGTGCCAACACTGTCCTGATGGAAGTGTGTCTGACCACGGGGGAGAAGATCTCATCATAGTCAACCCCTTTTCTCTGTGAGTAACCCTTTGCTACTAGACGAGCCTTGAATTTTTCTCCCTCATTTTCTGATACTGCTTCTTTCTTCTTATACACCCATTTGCACCCTATTGCTCTCTTCCCCTCGGGAAGTTCCACCAACTCCCACGTCTGGTTCTTATGCAGAGACTCCATCTCCTCCACCATAGCACCCATCCATCTACTTTTCTCTTGGCTTTGTACTGCCTCCTGAAAAGTTGTAGGATCCCCGCTACTAGTAATAAGCGCATAAGAAACCAAATCTTCAAAACCATACCTGGTAGGTGGCTTGATATTGCGTTTGGGCCTGTCTGTGGCTATACTATGATGCTGTTGATCACCTGAGATAGAACGCTCTACATGCTGAGCATCCTCTTCTCTACCATGATTCTCTAGCTCCACCTGCACCACATGGTCATTAGTGCTACAGTTTTCTGGTACTTGTTTCTCTTCTTCCTGAGTACGCTGCAACATGGCTTTTTCATCAAAAACCACATCTCTACTGATCACCATCTTGTTTGCCTTCGGATCCCAGAGCTTGAAGCCTTTCACTCCTTTCTGATATCCCAGAAAGATACACTGTCTAGACTTCGCATCAAGCTTCGACCTCTCCTCACTAGAAACATGTACATAGGCTGGACATCCAAACACTCTCAAACCAGAGTAGTCTACCTCACTGCCTGTCCACACCTCCTCTGATACTTTCCCATCTAGTGCTGCCCTCGGTGATCTGTTAATCAAGAAACATGCCATATTCACTGCCTCTGCCCAGAAATTCTTTGCAAGCCCTGCATTCAACCTGAGACACCGAGCTTTCTCGGCTATCGTTCTGTTCATCCTTTCCGCTACACCATTTTGTTGTGGTGTCTTGCGGACTGTGAAGTGTCTCTTGATCCCATGCTGCTCACACAACTCCTGGAACTTTGAATCTGTGTACTCAGTACCATTATCTGACCTGAGGCATTTAATCTTCCTCCCTGTCTGGTTCTCTACTTCAGCTTTCCACAGCTTGAACTTGGCAAACGCTTCTGACTTGTGCCGCATGAAGTACACCCAGACCTTTCGTGAGTAATCATCAATGAAACTCACGAAATACATGTATCCTCCCCGTGATAGTACGCTAACTGGTCCCCAAACATCTGTATGGACATAGTCGAGAACCCCCTCTGTCTTGTGTGTGGCTGTCTTGAACTGCACCCTATTCTGTTTTTCAAGAACACAATATTTGCAAAAATTGAGCTTGCATGTCTTGACACCCTTCAATAGATTTTTCTTATGAAGCTCTATCATCCCACGCTCACTCATATGACCCAGCCGCATATGCCACAAGACTGTATTGTCTGATTCAGACTCTGCAGCAACAACTCCACCTACAATTGTAGTACCCAGCAATCTGTAAATATTTTCTGCTACTTTCTGTCCCTTCAT